TTACAATTTAAAAACTTTAACCCTAATGCTACTGAATAAAACCAAATGAATTGGCTGGACTGTAGAATGCAGTATTCCTTCCTCTCTCAACCCATTTCTTTTCATCCCTGCGCGCTCGCTCTCTCTCTCTCTCTCTTACATTCAGTTGCATGTCTAGCTCTTCTTTACCAATACAGTTTTTGTATATCAATTTTTTTATTATTTTATACTGAATGTTTGAGGATTTTTCCTATAAAATTCCCCTTTTCTCTCTGCATTGTTGAACTTGAGTGCATGTTGGATGAAAATGTCTCGATGTACCAGCGTGTGGAGCTAGTTCCTATAGTGTCCTGCACACTTCTCAGAATATTTTCAGGCTTCCATGTATCAAAACATTAGCAGCATAATGCCATCACCACAGCTAGCATAAAATAATAGCCCTTCCTAATCTGGTCGAGATCGTGGAAAGACAGGTGCTCTTGAAGGCCTAGCATCAGCCTGGTCCAAATTCAGTCTTACGGACCTGAACGGCCATCTGCCGTGTCTCTTACTCTGCATGGCTTCCTCTCTAAGGGCTCTCTGCAAGGGGATCTCCCTGGGTACATCCCTTACCCATCTGGAATCCCATGAACATTACTGGGATTCTGCATGGGCACACAGGTCTGCCCCCAGGAATCTTTGCGGGTTCGTGCCTCACTTCTGTATGTGCTCAACACCCAAACACAATGCACCTGCCGCCTCCTTGAACTGCTATCTGATCAGAAAACTTCAGCTCCAATCCATCTCCTCCTATTGTTCAGGCATATAGTTGAGTAAACCTAGGACTCTGTCCTTGTGAGACCCCATCTCCACCCCACCCCCTCCATGAGCGCACTCCATCTTGTCCGTGTTCAGAATTTCCTTGTGCTGCATCGTTGTGCTTACGTTTCCTGCATGCTGTAGTCTGCATCTTACTTTTTCAATGACAGACATTTAGAACTTGCCTTTATACCCTCTCTTAATCTCTCTCTCTTTCTCTTTTTGTTTTTTTGTTTAACTCCCTGTCTTTTAGGCCAAAATGGAGTCTGTGAGCCGACCCTTCACTTCACTTGCACCTGCCATGTCCCCACAAATTAAAGTGGCTACCCCATACACAGCTTCTCAGCCATCGCCTCCCCTTCCACCACCCCCACCGCCACCACCACCCCCTCCTCCACCCCCTCCTCCGCCACCACCCCCGCCTCTTCCCAGCCAGTCTACGCCTTCGACCGGCTCAGCAGCCCCCCTGTTTGTCAAGTACAGCACGATCACGAGGCTGCAGAATGCCTCCCAGCATGCTGGGCCTCTCTTTAAACCTCCCCCCATCACCCAGCAAATGCCACCACCCCCAGCGCTGGGAAAACTGCCCATGCTGGTGGCTCCCCCTCCTCCCCCACCTCCTCCTCCACCTACCCCCGGATCAGCTATGGCACAGCTGAAACCAGCCCCCTGCCCCCCGTCAGTGCCACCGTTCACCCCACCACCACCCCCTCTCAAAATCCATCAGGTTCCACAGAACGTTACTCCAGTGGCTGTGTCATCACCACCCCCTCTACCTCCCCCTGTGCCTGCAGCGCCTCCCCCCCCAGCCCCTCCTAAACCCCTCCTACCTGTCCCCACGCAGGCAAGTGCAAAGGCAGCATCGCCCATCGTGACCAACATCCCGCCACCCGGGCCCATTCCCCCTCCTCCTGCAATAAAAAAGCAGCCAAATTTCACAGCTTCCCAAGTTCCTCCACCAGCACCTGTTCCTCCAGGGCCTACTCCCCCACCCACCTTACCAAAACAGCAGAGTTTCTCTGTTAAACCTCCCCCATCCCCTCAGTCTCCTGTGCCCTCTGTTGTGAAGCAGATAGCCAGTCAGTTTCCACCTCCCCCGACCCCTCCAGCCACAGAGCCTCAGCCTTTAAAGCCTGTCCCAGTAAGTGGGGCGCCACAGTCTCCCCCAGCAGTGAAAGCAAAGCCCAAGTGGCAGCCCACCTCTGCTCCATCTCCTGATTTTCCTCCTCCACCACCTGAGAGCAGCTTAGTGTTTCCTCTGCCACCTTCCCCAGCTCCCTCTGCAGCTTCTCCTACCCTGGACAAGGCGGGATCTCCAGTCAAAAAGGCCAGCAAGACCTCAAGTCCTGGAGGGAAGAAACCACCTCCAACACCTCAACGAAACTCTAGCATCAAATCCAGCAGCTCTGCTGAGTATCATGAATCTAAGAGACCTTCGGTGGACAGCCTTGTCAGCAAATTTGCACATCCACCAGAGCCTTCAGGATCTTCTTCCAAGGAGCCTCCACCTCCTCCTGCAGCTCCTCCAAAGCCAGGAAAGCTAAATCTTTCTGGGGTGAATCTGCCTATAGTTCTTCAGCAAGGAGGTATTTCAGCAAAGGTACCTGCAGTAGGAGTGTCTGGGAAGGATTCCATGGTAGAATTTCCTTCTCCTCCATCCGATTCAGACTTTCCACCACCTCCACCAGAAATAGATCTGCCTTTACCACCAGTAGAGATCCCATCCGTGTTTTCAGGTAGCACCTCTCCAAAAGTTGCTGTTGTTAATCCGCAGCCTCAGCCCTGGTCTAAATCATCAGTGAAAAAAGCCCCTCCGCCCACACGTCCCAAGCGGAATGACAGCACCCGGCTTACGCAGGCAGAAATCATGGAATCACAGGGGCCGGTCAGTCCACAAGTGCCCACCTCGCCCAAGTCCAGCCTTAGTGTTCAGCCTGGCTTCCTGGCAGACCTAAACAGGACTCTGCAGCGGAAGTCCATCACTCGGCATGGCTCTCTCTCTTCTTCCCGTGTGTCCAGAACAGAGCCGACTGCCACGATGGATGACATGGCCTTGCCTCCACCCCCACCGGAACTGCTTGCAGACCAGCAAAAGACTGGCAGCTATGGAGGCAGTCATATATCAGGCTATGCAACGTTGCGGAGGGGGCCACCGCCTGCTCCCCCCAAAAGGGATCAGAACACCAAGCTGTCTAGGGACTGGTAATCACTAGGTGAACTCTATTTTGCGTGACTTTCAGTCAATTCTACAATCAGCAAATCTGTACTTTGTGTGGAGAGAGAACATGTGGCTTGTGCGATAACATGAGGAAGACGTGGTCACCCACTGTCACCAAGGGTAACTGTATGCATTCCCCTTCAGAACTAGTCCAAAAAGTTTGAGGGTTTGGGTTTGACTATTTCAAGGGTGTGGAGGGGCATTGTCCTCTCCCTTGCAATTTCTTTTATCCTTCATATGGATTGGACCAAAAACCTTTCTTACTTTTTTCTGCATTTAAGAAAGAAAAGAAATTTTTTGTAGTGTCTGTCCATGTGAGATAAGTTTGTGCATGTATTATAAATGTAGTTATATAATAGATTGTGATATATTACGTCGCAGTTATAGAAGATAACCAGAATGTTTTTGTAGCTCTGTATTTATTGTTTCAGTCCACTGACGTATATATTACTCGGAATTGGACTCTAACCAGTCAAACCTTTACATGAAGATGAAGATGTAGGGGGCACTTTAAATCAAAAAAAGCATCTTTTAGCAGTTTGTGACGGGTAAATGGTACAGAACTGAAGCATTCTGTCAGTATCTGTACATTTTCAATTGATTGAAAATACAGACACAACATACCAAAACATTCTGGTCGTAATACTACTGAAAATAAATACATTTTGAGCAAAAAAAAAAAAAAGTTATATATAATGGGCTGGAGTGAAATATATTTATACTATAAAGAGCCTCCCCCTCCAAATATTTGAAAACCACTCACAGCTCCAAGTTCCTTGTCCGTACAGTAAGTGGGATACATATATATTATTCCAATCCAATACACATTCTAATGTGGTAAGAAGTCTGGTAGCCACAATTCCTTACTTTGACACATTGGGAGGCTTAACCATCTGTCATGTGATGCATCATCAGTACATGTGAAAATACAGGTATGTTTCTGTATTCAGTAATACTCTCTGCCACATGCACACACCATATATAGATGCTCACCTTATCTGTGCCTGAAGAGATGAATTATCTTTACAAAAAATGGCTGAGAACCCTTGCGGAAGCAGTGTGTGTAATTCGCCAGCTGTGAGCTAGAAGCTTTCATTTGGGGAGGGAGGGATGGGAGTGGTAATTTCGGTCCACAAATAGCTGGGAACCTGTTTTCTTTGACCTTTTGAGACGGCAACAAATGCATAAGCCTATTAATTAACAAATTGCACTTCTGGCAGTCATGGAAGATGACTGAAAAAATATATAATTTGGGAGCTGATAAAATCTGTTAGGAATCCAGTTACATCATCAGGGGCCTTATTAGGTGGAAATAGAATACTTTATTTGATTTGTTATTTATTTATTGCTGATTACAACCGTAAGATCAAAATAATAGAATCCTTTTTCTTGTAATCTGCTAGTTTTTGATTGTGCAGTCTTACCTGGGTATCGGACATTGTGATATGATAGTATAGTTAGTATAAGCGATCTTGCATCTCGTGCATGTGCAGTACAGTGTACGTTGTAAAATAACTCCAATATTAGCGCTGTACCTTAACATGCTCGTTTGTGTGAATTTCCCTGATCACTAAAGGGACACTATCAAGATTGGGGTGGTCAGATTTTTACCATTTTTTTCCTTCAAAAATAAATTCTAAATGCTCTTACTTTTTTTCTAAAACAAGAAACCAAGAAAGCAGCCCAGAAATCACAAGCAATGCTACAATAGATCACGTGCGTCGATAAAGTAGAAACTAATATTTGATCAGAGAGAATATTTGCCATTTGGGCTTGTCAATGTGAGAAGCATCGTTACAGCGTTCCCCCTTTTTAAAAGTGTAATAATAATCCACGTGAGGAAACGAGTGTTTGATTAGGAAAAAATGAGTGGTGCTGTCTCTGCTGACCTGTTTCATATGATTTTGAATCTGCTTCAGCACCTCCAGGAAATCGTTGTAATATTTTAGAGTAGTTTATTTGAGCAATAAGAATATACCATTGTGTGCATTTTTAAAGCACTGCTGTGGAAAGGCACTTTTTTTTGTATCTTTCAAACTGTTCACAAAAGTTTTATTTCTACTATTTTTGTGCTTATAAAGTGTCCTTAAAAGCATTGGCATTGTTGATTTTAAGCATGCTCAGTTAGCTGATTAGTGTCTTAGTAACAAGATGGTTAAACTATGCTACAAATAATGGGTGCTGTAATTTTCTACATTGTTCCTGCTGCTGCTTGTATTGTATGCTGGCCCTCGATCTCGCGCCTTCCAGTGGAGTTACAGGTGCACAGATAGGAATTCTAGCCTCGTCGTTTTTATTGATCAGTTTACCTACTGATCACTGCCAGCATGCAGCCATGTTCTCTGGGAGCTAAATCAGTTAGTTGATTCTTTTATCTTCATCCTCCTCCCTCCCGCCCCCCATAACTCCACTGGTGCGTGTCAGCCCTATCATTCTTTCTTTTATTCATTTGATGTAGGTGCCTCTGGGATCTGCACTTGTTCGTAATTATGGCAGAGGAATGTCTTAAATGCAATTTCTTCAAAGGCAGATGAGAATTGTTCTCTGTTTCCTATGATCAGGTTCATTTGTCTAATATTTGTTTCCCATGGGATCTTGAATCTGTGCTCACTAATGCAGGCCACTGAACAGTTTGCTGGAAGTCAGAAAACAGAACTCCATATTGGCAGCAAAAAGAGTGAGTGGAACAGGAACTCAATCTTTTTGTTATTTGTTAGCTTTGGGCAATCCGACAACCTTTTGTGTCTTTGAAGAAATGTTAACGCAGTGAATGTCCACAGTTCCCATGTATTTTATTTCTGTACCTGCATGAGTTATATAAACCAAAAGATGCAGTGCTCTTTTAAAATAGGGTCAGTGCAGGGGCGGGGTTGAAGCTTCTCCTTGAGTTCTGGTTTTCCCACCTCTTATTTTTTAGCATTTGTGTTCTTGTCAAAACTCTTCTTCAAGGTACTGTAGTCTTTGCTAGTGTCTGTCCCCAGTCCAGTGTTGGTACAAGCTAAGTCGTAAAAACCGGCTGCAATGCTCTCAACGAAGTGTACTGAAACTAGACCACAGGGTGGCAAAAATTAAATAACCTGCTTGCCATTGCAAACCTTGAGAATCCTGATGGCAACTGCTGTTCCAGCTTATTTGCTGTTCTGTTCTAGTATTCAAATGTATAAGCCTTGTTTGCAAGTAATTTTCTCCCTGCTCATTGATTTGGAAATTGCCTCATTTCTTCCCTCTCTTTCAACCTCTTTGCTTCCCCTCTCTCTCGTAGCGAGAAAGTAGTTTCTGCAAAGAATATTGACCATAAATTGACCATAATTTGGATTTAGTCAGCATAGCACCTTGGAGCTGACCAGCCATACTTTAGACCAACGGAGCAGACGGTTTGATCCCATATTATTAACAAAATACAGGTGTAGTTTAAATTACTTTTAAACAAATATTTGCCACTTGCTAGGACCTCCACTCAGAGTGCTTTTTTTCTCTTGCAAGAGCAGCTGATCCCAGAGCTGCATTCCTTAGCCTGTTGTGATGTTCTCTATACCTATTTTCCCATCTGGAAAATGGGGATAACTCCGATCTACCTCACTGGGGTGTTGTGGGGATTAATTAATGTTTGAATATGTAAAACACTATTTTCACAAGTCTTGTAGGAGAAACACAAGCCCTACGATAGATCCTAGTATGGAAGCACAAGAGAAAATGACATCCATGTAAGAAAATGTGACTATTCTAGTCAGCCTGTGTACATTAATGATTTAGAATCTGAAGCTTTTTATTTAAAAAACATTTTTTCACCTTTAATCAGGAAACACTGATGGGTCTGCAAGGTGCTTGGAGTTGCAGCTGCCTGAGGGACTAGAATTGATGTGAGAATAAAAGGAGTGTGTTTTTCAGAGCACTTTGCTAAACATAAGCCAGCCAAGACAGGACAGAGGTGCTTTCAGTACAGCAAGGCAAGGCAGTGATGCTTTAGGTTAGCTGACTGATGCGCCTACTGTATGTCAGTACTGAAAAATACAAACTAGGCAGGAAGAAATCGCTGAGTGAAGGAGGTAGAGTGACATGAACACATAACACAGTCACAGGCCACTAGATTTCTCTTACGTTTGGGACAAGGTGGAACTCTGGGGCTAAATGGCAAGTCTGAGGCATCAGAATAAGTACTGTGAGAATTGATGAGGTCAGAGAGTAAGTGGGGGAAAGAGAAGAGGACTAGGGAACAGCTCTGTAAAACGAGCAATAGGAGGAACTGGAGCCAAGTTTGGTTATCCCTTCTAATGTCTGAGCAAGTAGCAACCACTAGTTGCTAAGTGCCACAGCCTAGTAGAAGGGGGCAGAATTCATTCAATCCAAACATCTTCAGTCAGAAGAAAGTAAAAAGCAAAGCTAAGTGTGTACTGAAACAGAAACAGTGGAGGACCAGAAACCAGGGAGCCACTTCAGGGTAAATTACGATGACTCCAAAACACAGAGTTGGCCCATCCCAGTGCTCACCTGGGAGAAAGTTATCCTGGTGCTGCTTCTCCTTGGGAGCATCTGTGGCCATCCTGCTAAAGGGGCATTTCTGCCTCCGTTTTAATTGCGGCAGGAGCCATAGTTAGTCCTGTGGTATATTTTGCTGGGACTCAGTTCCTTTAGAAAGACCGACCAGGCTTAATTTCATAGACTGTCAATTAATTACAAAAAGTACTTTTAACATGTAGTTGATCACCTCTGGATAAAGATCATAAGTTATCGTGTGAGTGATTGAAATTCAGGTGTTTTAAAATAGCTTAGTGTGGAAGTACACACTTTCCAGGATGAGTTTACATGTAAATTGGAGGAATAGCTGACGTGTTTTGCTGATGTCCTCTAGCAAGTAGGAGCACATTGCCCTTTAACATGAAAGTGGAGAGCATTGATCATCCAAACACAAGCGCGGTGTCCTTGGTAATATTGTGCTTGTAAAACACTGTTGTTTTGTCACGGATGGACATTTGAGCTCTGAATGTAGCAAATATGTCAACTTACTGCACTGAATATGTGCAGGTCTGCAAAGCTAGAGAGCATCTCCATAATGTGCCTAGAGAGAACGATCCCTGTTTGTAGCGCAGCGCAGAAAAAAGCAGACTGTCCACTAGGTTCAGAACAGAGAAAAAGGAATGTAAACAGTTCTCAGCCAAGTGTAGTTTTGAAATCGCTTTAGTGTCTAGAGCTTGGATGTTCTAGCATTGCACAGTAAGAAGCTATTTTCATCTTTTTACCTCAGTGCCCAGGGGTTAAATTAAATCCAAGAACAGTCATCCTCAGTCTGGGTTGAAACTATTTTCTTCCATTAGAAGAGAAGTGAAAGTGCAGGTTCAGCACTAGAAGGAAAAAATGATTTTTTCCACTTGTTACAGAAAACTGTGAAGAGCCCTATTACATTAGCGGGCGACAAGGTGAAATTGTTTTTCGTGTCAGCTTCAGCTGACACTATCTTGTTAGTTTGTTTTTTATGCAGCCCTAACATATAGGAATCTAAATGACTATTGCGTGATACAACCACTCCATCCAGAATACCTCCACTGAAATCAATGCCGTTGCTCTGGATTTGCAGTGGGGTGACTCAGAACAGAATGTTTTATATTTGTAGGCTCTTGTTCAAACAGGCATTAATTCAGGGAAGTCTTAGGGCCCATGCTATGCAGGAGGTCAGACTAGCTGATCACC